ATGTTTATAATGTTTATAACCTACTTAATATGGCTGTGCCTGGAGGATTATAAACTGACTTGTCTTTCCCCTTCTTCCTGGTGATTTCAGCCTTGCCTCAGAACTAGAGTAGTGGGTAGACAATTACGAGGTCTGATAGTAAGTGTTTATTTTTAATTCATCATCCCTATATTTCTATTACATCAGCTCATATGCCATCGATATCCCCTTCTTGGATGCTCTATCTCTCTCCCTTATGGCCTCTTGCAATAGATTTATTTTTTTCCTTGAGGCTAAGTTTGAGTGGTCTTGTTTTTTAGCAGAAAAAACTTGATGAATTAATTTATCTATATTGAAACAATAAATACTATACAATAAATAAATGAATACTATACAATAAATAAAAAGAACTAAAATTTCTTAGTTAAAATATGCTAGGAATAGCTTCCTCACCTGTCGGGAGAAATGCTACATAATTTTTGGGAAAAATCATTTGAGTAGTCCTAGTCCTCCTGCCTGCAGGCCAGCTATGGCATTTTGAGACATAATTCCACTTTGGCCTCCCATCACAACTGAGCCCTCAATGATCCGGTGATGCTGTGATGTTCCAGGACAAGATTACTGCAGCTGAAGACATCCTGGGAGGAACAAAATCATCATCTGCATAGTTCCTCATTGATCTAGGAATTCCACCACTCTGCAGTCATCTGTTACATTTGTTTCTCCCTATGTACTGAACTCTCTGTCCTGGGTCATTTGTTATATTTGTTTCTCCCGATGTTCTGAACTCTCTATCCTGAGTCATTTGTTACACTTATTTCTCCCAATGTACTGAATAAAAGGTGAGGCAAACTCGGGGGCTTTCGTCTTTGCTGCTCAGAGCAGCACTGATTAGGCCCAAAGCTCAGCTTCTTCTCAAAGTCTCATTTTTTCTACCTTTCCTGTATAATACGTTAATTCTTCGCTTTGTGCTGCTGTGACTCACAGGAGACTAGGACTTAATGCAGAGGTTCTTTCTAGTAACGTCCCCTTTCCCTGTTCCCTACACTCACTCTTCTTAGAAACATAGGATGAAGTATGCTATTCTTAATTGTGGAAGAAACCTAGAATAGTCTCAATTAAAAAACAATAGGCAAAAATTTTGAAAAGATGCTTATTTTTGTTTTCTAGAAAGACAGTAAGATATTTAAGAGATGCTCTTTCAACCAATGAAAGTTTTAAAAGAAAAAGGGAAAGCTGTATTGGCAGTAAGCCCACTAGCTTCCAAAATTTTTAAAATTAAAAACCACTGTTTTTTATAAACAAGTATTTTAACAAAAAAATAATGTAAGTGATTTAGATCTGTGGAAGGTAAGTTATTTATATAATCATCACCATATATTTGTCATCCTAAAAGCAAAATCTTTAAATAAAATATTATAGCCTAGCTGCTCATGTCTTATTTCAGATGTTCTGTTTATTATAGTCACATTTGCTGATTATTGTACCTAATTTTTCATTATTAAAAATGAAGGTAAGATACATAATGAAAGTTAGAGCTGAGATTTCCATGCTTTACATTTTCAGCTTAGGCTATTATGATGACTCTGCATCTGAACCTGTGTATCCATTATATCCAAGCCCATGGACATCTGTACCTCAGGCTTTGTATGAGGCTTGAAAGTATATGTTGCACAAATGTCATTTTAAAATTGATTATGATGAAAAAGTGGTTTATGATGTACATGTTCACTACATCTACTTAATGGTAGGAGTAATTTGCTTATCTGCTGCCTCTTTTAATCAACTCCCACTTGATAGAAAACTTAAACCAATAAGCTGTAATTTTTAGGGAAAATTTAATTATGTTTTGGTGAGCTCTAGAAAGTTTCTTAGTAAAAATGTATAAAAAGCTAGATTAGTATGAACTACTAATAACCAGTGAGAAATCGGTGTGCATAAATCTTTCCCTTATATATTATTCATCATTAATATTATTGTATTATATATAATATTGTCACTAGAAGATAAAGGCAGCAACTCACATATGTACTTTAGGTTATTATTTAACTGCAAAAATTTATAAAATTTAGAATCATAGAGATAAAATTATAGAGAAAAACCAGAGTAATCAAGATTGTTGGGTAGCTAATAAATACCTTTTTCCATACCTAAGTTATGTCACAATTTTTTGGTAAAAACATTAGAAGTTCATGTAGAGAAGTTAATTATGAATTTGTGTAGTTGTCTGTGAATCTGATATTACGTTGAATTTCTAAAAGTAAGACATAAATGAGTGATTTACATTTGCTCACTATAGAAAATAACATATTCCTATATGATAATTAGTTTGTATTGAGCAAAGTATATATATATATATATATAATTATTTATTTTTCATGTTCACTAAATTAGATGGGAGAAGTTTATTATTAAATAATATTTTAATCTTTTAAAGTAGTTAAAATGATGATACTTTAGATATTTTTAAAGTCATTTTACATGTTCATAAGGTATAGTCTTTCATAACTATGCAGTATGTCCCTGTAAGATAATGGCAAACCAATAGATATTTGGTAGATGAATGAACAAAAAGACTAAAAGCTTGAGATTTCAAAATTAAAAACATCAAGCATCTAAAAAATTATCAGCAGAGTAGAAACAGGTTTTGGCCTTTATCATGACAAAACTGGTAGCTTCAAATAATCAAATTTGTAGTCATTAGTCATGGTTTTTTATGAAGAATAATGTTTAAACATTGTACTTTTCTTGAAAAAGGTGTATCTTACTGAAAATAAATTTGACCATACATATATTTTAATTTCTTTAAAAGCCATACAATTAAAAATTTACATTACGAAAAGATTTATATGTTTGAATTCCTTAGGTTAAATTCTTTATCAAATTGATGAATTAAAGGTGTTTTTGCTTGAAGCTAAAGTGTTCAATATTTTAAACAATTTGTTTTATGCTTAAGAGCTACACATTTAAAAGTGATCTGTAGGAAATACATTAAATATCAGTAGAGTAAATATGTATGTGTTATTTTGGACTTATGTATGTAAATATAAGCTAGAAGCTATCATGTGGTTATAACTTAATTTCCAAATGGTGAAAAGAGTTTTATGAATGAAATGTTGAGATTTTATTTTGCCAAGAACTAAGAAATAATAATGGAAGTTTTAATATGTACTTTTGAATTTAGAAGTTTGAGTATTAAAATAATTTTGAAGACAAAAATAGTAAATATTAATTATATGTTAACTTAGAGTTGTTTTAGGCAAAATATTTTAAGTATCAGTAACTTAGTAAAATTTGTATAAAAATAAACAAATTACAAAATATAACATACTTTTTTTTATGTTTTAACAGCAAAGAAAAACTCTTACATTTGTTGTGAGAGTGGGTGTTGGGAACAATGCTACATAATGCTAGGGAAAAATCATTTGAGTAGGCCTAGTTCTCCTGCCTACAGGCCAGCTATGACATTCCAGAAATAATTACATTTTGGACTCCGGTCACAACTGAGACCTCAGTGATTGGGTGCTATAATCTCCAGACAAGACCACACCTGCAGGAGACACCAGGGAGAAACCAAATCTTCATCTGCATAGTTCCTCATTGTTCTTAGATTTCCACTGCTCCCCAGTCTTTTGTTACAGCTTGTTTATCCCAGTGTGAAGTACCGAACTCCACATTTCACTTGTTACATTTGTTTCCCCATGTACTGAATAAAAGGTGCTGCAAGCTAGGGGGGTTTTGTCTTTGCTGCCCAGAGCAGCACTGATCAGACCCAAATCTCAGCTTCTTCTCATTTGTCTACCTTTCGTGTAATTCGCCTTGTGTGCTGCCTTGGCTCACAGGAGACTAGGATTTACTGCAGAGGTTCTGGTAACGTCCCCTTCCCCTGTTCCCTACAAGTGGGTATAAGATTCAGAAAATAAAATTGAAGGAAATAACACTTTAAAGCAGGCTTCAAATGTGGAAATATTCACCTGCCTGTTAAAGACAAAATGCTACTTTGAGAGGTTGTCTCAAAATTAAATTATCCACTGTGCAGTCTGCAGCATTAGCAGTGCTTATTTCAGCATATTTCTTTTTAAACTTTCACTAGGGTAAAAGGTCAAGTTCTATAGGGGCAAGGAAGCAATCGAGGTAATCAGATCAAATCTGACCAACTGTTGGTAGACAGACATCACAGGCAACACTATCTTGAATGACCTTCATAATACTAATAGAAAATTTTCTAAGTGAATACAGTTGTCAAAATGATAATTTCTGGGGTTGGGAGATGAAGCTTACATTAGTCTCTTGGTTCATTCCTCAGCACCAAAAATAAACAAATATTTTTCTACATGGAAACTATTATTTGAGTTTTTAATATATTGAAGATATTTTGCTCTCAGCCTCATTTGTGTGGAGAATAATGCCTATGGCTCATTGATGCCCACAGTCAATTTGGTAACCGCTAGAATGATATAAAGAATAATAAAATTTTAGTATATTAAGTCACACCTGAGGAACACGCAACAATCTACCATTTGTATTATTTAAATTACTTCTATGGTTTGCTTAAGTGAATATACCTCAACATCCTCATCCACATAATGTGTTTAGTCATAATTTTTCTCTCTCCCTTATACCTGTCCAGCTGAAAAGGAATGTATTTGTTAATGAAGCTTGCATGCTGTGAAGAAGCTCTAACTGTAGGTCACAGGATGTGAATAAGTAAAATCCTACCCCAACAGCAAAGGTGAAAATTATTTAGATAAATACATCAAGTTCTTAGAGGACCAAAAAAGAAAATCAGAAAAATACAAAAGACCATGATAATAACCCTAGCGTTGTTGCCTTTTCTAGCATTTTCAAGTTTATACTATGTATCATTTTCTGTCATAAAATTATTTTATCCTTATCATTTTTCTCAAATGTTTTATAATTTGTACCTTAGTCATCTTTAATTATTCAAGTAAACAACTGATTTGACAAAGTGTAAATGTAATTCCCCTACTAGAATAATATGAGAATATTCAAGTGACTTTATCATGCCCTGTATTCCATCGCTGTCTTGTATTTTAGTTATGCATTTTCCAACAACTCACTACTTAACAAAATTATTCAAATTACTCTATTAGCAATACCTATTTTATTTGTCTATATTTTTACTAGTTTCTGTTCACCATTTTTCTTTTATTGCTCAAATTCATTTCTTTTTCCTTTGTGTAAATAACTAGAATCATACAAATGAGATGAGCAGAGACCATTTATTGAGAGCTTGTTACAGCAAGTGTGCCAGTCCTAACTGTATTTGGCAGAGACTTAAAGGCAAACAGAAAAGTGGGAAAGCTTTGTAATGGGGGGAAAAAAAGGATTATTTTTTTTCTTTTGCTGAGCTCTGACGGAAAGTTTGAAGAAATCTAAGCAGAAATGGAAAATCTTCCATTATTGGTTTGGAAAATATGTTTGCTTTTTTTTCTGTTATGTACTGAGTTAGAAGAAATTGAAAAGTAAATGTAGGGAAGTTGATAGATAGTTGGACATTTGACAAATCTTGGTAAATTGTCATGGACCTTGTGCTTGGTCTTCCTGGACTGGTCAGTGCTGAGGCTGTGGGTCAGAGTCCTGTTGCCAATATGATCTAATCATCGTATATTTGTATGTTCTCCCACCATACAATGCTAGGGAAATATGTAATTTTATTCATTTAAATATGTCTTTATTTTTTCCAGTCTTGAATAACACTTTTCCTGAGTCTAGAATTTTATTTCATTGGATTTCTTCTCACTTGCAGTTTGAAATTATCTCAGTCTTCTAAAGGTAAATTTCTCATGAGCAAATACATGTTTTTTATATGTGCTATTGCTTATTTCTAGAATATGCTCTCAGCTTCTTTTTTGGATTGCTCAACTGATTAGATACAGCTAATTTGTTACCTAATATTCAGAAATAGTTTGACCACCTTATGAAAGATAAGTAGGTCTCTCACTTGATTTCATTTATTTTATAAGTAGCTGTCACAACTTTACACTATTTTTATTCATCAAATTTCTTTTTTTAGTATATAAATTTGAATGATCAAGTATTATATTTGATAATTAATATTGAATATGCTGAGGTTGCTCTACTAATTATATATATATATATTGCATAGATGGATTACAATGATCTTATCTTTATAATTTTCTTATTCTTTAGGGTCATGTAGTTTATGTAAATTTTACATCAAAGTCAGAAAATCAATTAATCTATAAATTGAGAGAATATATATGTTTTTATTTGGTTTTTTTCCCAGCAGATATATTTAAATTCAATTTAAACTTGCCTATTAGGAAAGAACACAAAAATATGAGAAAATTGTGATCTACTCTTAGAAATGAAGACAGTTTTAAAATTCTATTTCCTATATTAAATTTATATGATATATAAATATTATTCCATTGTTAGCATTTTGGAAAAAACATTTTTAGAGTACATGCATAATAGATACATCTCAGTACTTTATAGACAGAAACTGATTGAAGAGAGACAGAGTGTGGCATTAAGATAAGACGTAATCATTTCAAAAAAGACACTCTCCTCAGCTAGGATTTATGGTAAGAGAAATGACATGAGGCATAAGTTATGTTAAGAAAGTGTTGTAACAGATCACCACTTTTTAGTTTCAGCACAAACACAAACTTTAGAAAAATGAGATTTTATTCCTGGAAAGCACTAACGCAGAGTCCAACCCTTTTCTACCAGTGAAGAATGACTCAGTGAACTTGATTAGTTTTGTAAGCCATGTTTTAAGATGTACATCTACAACCACACTGAATCCAGAGATTGTAGCAATGAGGCTAAAGATTTCCTGAGGAATGAGAGAAAGAAACAGAGAACATTAACCTGGAAGAGGAGCACACTAAAAAAACACCAAACTGCGCATTTTGGATGTACATAAAATAATATTTTGTGGGATAGAAGCTTGACTTACTTTATATAAATGCAGAAATTTTAACCAGAGTTTACAATTTAATTTAAGAAAACAGATTTTGAACTAGAACAAATGTGAGGATGCATTTTCTGGCAAAGGGAACCATTAAAACATGAAATGTACTAACTTGGTGACTTAATAAGCAGTCCTTGACAACTAATATTGACCTAGGAGAAATAAATGTAACTTCCAACCAGCTAGATGTCAGATACATTGAGTTCATGTTCCCCGAAACCAAAAAGTGAACTAAAGGAACAACGGAGATTAAGAGTAAGAAAAATTTAATGAAAGAGATAGCTCCTGAAAGACAAGAGGGGACCTGAGAGTGGTTTGACAAGGAGCCTACTTCTCAGAAGAGGTTTTTATATAGCAAAATCACCAGGTGGGTACAATATGGATCAAAACTATAATCAACCAATAAGATTACAAGTATAGCCCCATAGGTAATATTGATCCAATGGGGAAGCAGGTCACGTAGCAAAGTAACATGGAAAGAACAATTAGGAGGCGCTGGTCACCCACCTGGGTGACTGATGTCTATCTAGATTTTATTGGGCCAAGTGAGTATCTTTTCAATTTATTGCTTATCCCTAGGGGAGGCATGCAGGCCTGGTCTTTCCATCTTTATCTTGAGGCCTGACATATGACAGATGCACCTCCACCCACAGTTGTAATGTGTTCTCATCTTCTGCACTGACTCCTTCAAAGACTTAGCCCTGTCTGATTGCCTATGTCTACCTAACTTAATTTTCTATGACAATATTTAACAAAAGAACTATTGACCAGTTTCCAGAAATATTATAGATACATACAAATTTTAAATTAGTTTCAACTACTTATACACTTAGACTTTGAAGATGTCTTCAAAATTCCCATGATAAGCAAATTTGCCTCATTAGCCATTTTAAGACAATTGAAATTCTTTTAAATGTAATTTTCAATTTCTTTTTTTCAGAAAAGCAAGTAAATTAACAGAAATCAAGTTTTGATGTGCAAGTTCTATTAAATTTCTAGATGTATAAGAGTTTCTTTTTGTATCCAGGTAGTTACCTAAAAACTGGTTACAAAGCAAAGGTCAACATAATATGTTAATATTTGGTGCTAATTTATCTAGTTACCACTCCAAAATTCATTTGGCTGACCAATAATTTTTATTTTACTATATTCATCAGCATCTTTTTTTGGTCATTTTCCTTTTTTTTTTTTTTAACTGTTTTATACACCTAACAAACTATGCAACATAATAGAAAGGAAAATAACAATCCTGCAAAAATTACACGATTTCATGAAGCCAATAAATTTAGTAATACTGTAGTCACAGGCAAAGAAAGTATTTGACAAATGAGGGCAGCACAGAGTTAGACTGATTAGAAATTTAAGAAAATTATTACCAAGGATGATGATTTAATATTTGGTTCAAAAGAGAATGATGTGTGTAACAAAGAATTGAAACAGATTCTTGAGAAAATGGATGAAGCCTTGAAATATTTTGGTAAAAAAGGACATTCTAAATACTCTCTGAAAATCACAATGTAATTTGTTGTTGTCGAATCTTGGCACAAGTTACAAACTCATTCAAATATGGAAACCAAAGATAGCTTAATGCACTCTTGAAATATTCAAACAATTAATTCATAGAATAATGAGTAAATTCTATTGAAATTAATGTAAATGAAATTTTAATATTTTTATTATTTTAGTTGCAGCTTCAAGATAAAATTATAATATCTTTTTTAACTATTCTACTATGGAGTTGAACCTTGTATTTAAATGGCTTAGATTTGTTTCAAACAAGTTTTATTTACGTAATGATGACCTCCCAGATATTCTTTTGCACTTTCCATAGTATGCTATTTTTTGTGCTACTGATAATATTGTTATTTTAAGTTGTGACTGTGAAATATGAGAAACATTCATCTACTCTAACACTGATTGGATCATGCTTTTCAGCACCAGTACTTTGAAATTAAAACTAACTTTATGTTCATAGCCACAAAGGACCTGTATCTTTCTTAGAAACTGCAAAAAAAAAAAACCCAAACCAAATCAAACCAAAACAAAAACCCTCCTGTGCGAATAATACAATTCACCCAGAAAACACTGATTTTTCTATGCAAAAGTATTAATTTTAACAAGTTCCTAACAATTCATTTTTTAAAAAAGATTTTTGAGTTTCTAATCATTATGTAGATGACAAGTAAATTGACATAATAGCCTGCAGATAGCCATTTAAGGACTTGCTGCAAAAAGTAAAAATACATTATACTTTATAAAAGAAAAATGTAATTAACTTTATATTTGGCAAGATTATAATCTCCATGTATTAGGATTTGTGCATCTGTAACACAGCAGGTTGTTAAATTGCTCAGCTCTCACAGATAGCGTCTGCTATTTGTAAGGATGAGGTAGCTATCTAGAAAAGTACTCAAATTTGCATAAAAAAGAGCATACCAGTATCTCTGCTTTAAACTTATGCTGTCTTGGAGGTATAATCCTCACTAACAGGTATTTTCTTCAAACTATTAAAGCTTTCCATTAAAATTCTCTAGCTATTTCTCAAAGTATATTATAAATTCACTAGTTTGTAGTTCAGTTTTATTTTCTTTTAACACCTTACCTCATTCTGCTTCTTGCAGTTGGAAAATTATTCACACTTGTGAAATTGATTGAAGGTTTATATGATTATTGAGATAATTCAGAGAGGGGAAATAATAGGTCTATTGTCTTAGTATGATTTTACATTATCCATTAAAAATTTAAAGAGGCAAACATTCTACAGATAGTTTAAATAAATTTTCTATTTTGTTAATTTCTTATGTATAAGCATAGTAATAGATTTTTTTCCCTTGAAAGCCAATGTATGTGTGCTATTCCAGACATTTTAATATTTTAAGAAAACCCTTTAGTGTACATTCAGGAAGTATAGTGATTACTTGCATCACTAAGCTTCCTATGTACTCTCTTGTATGTTATGTTTTACAAATACATCATTAAATTTTAGTTATGAAAAAATTTTATGCTTCAATTTACAGAAAAAGAAACTGAAAGAACCAAATAAATAATCTGCTTAAGTATGTCTATTTAAGAAGGCATAGTTTCAAAACTTAACAGGGCAATATTAGTCTGACTCTCAAGCTTAAAGATATATACAACAGGCCGGGGATTTAGCTCAGTGTTTCCGCTGCCTGCCTTGCAAGTGCAAGGTCCTGAGTTTGATTACTGGTACCCCCCCCCAAAAAAAGATATATACAAAAATCTTTTTCTTTACTTTTGTACTTTAGTACATAATGTATTCTATCACATAAGTAAATACAAATATGCCTTTTATAGCAATTTAAAATCTAATTCCATATAACATTATTTGGAGAAATTTGACAGAAATTTTGGAGAAAAAAATTCTGTGATACACACTAAGTGGCATTGATTATCTGATTGTCTTAATTAATTGTGCTGACCATCACCATAATTGATTTCCAAACTTTTTGTTTTTATTTTTGATACAGGGTCTTGCTTTACACTCCAGTCATTCCTCAAACTTGTCATCTTCCTGTCTCAGCCTCCCAAGTGCTGAGATTACAGGCATGTACCACTAGGCCATGTTGCCCTCCAATTTTTTTAATCACTCCAAACAAATTATTTGTACTAAGCAAAAATTCATTATTTCTTGTTAACTCCAGCCCATAGAATTCTGTACCCTCTTTTCTCTTTCTATAAATTTTCCTGTTCTAGATATTTCATATAAGTGGAAGCAGATTATATGTATTTTTTTTCTGGCTTATTTCATTCAGCATAATATTTCAGGGTCCATTGATGTTCTAACATGTATCAGAGTTTAATTTATTTTTAT